TAACTAAAACATGTACCACAAAATATAAAGATATAAGAAGTACTAGACTTTCCAGTGTCCTTATTGTCAGCATAATTAGAATCCACAAATTCCTCCAATCTTACGATATTGACATATTTTCCATATACTAAACACCCACATCAGCAGTACCTACGAGATTTAATTAAATTAATTTATATTTGTTAAATATATTTAAGATGAATAAATTTACTAAAAATAGAAATGGGTCATGTTTCATGTGACCGACAAAAAAGAAAAAGGGGTCATGTTTCATGTGACCAACAAAAAAGAAAAAGAGGTCATCTATCGCGAGACGGAGGGAGTACAAAATTAGAAGTCATAGGAACTGAAATAGATTTGGCATCACATATAGAGATTTTTTATTTTAATTATTTTCAAAATATAATTGGACTCGTTCAAAAACAACCTATTATTTTTTCTATTCCCAACAATATTCATGCCAACAATCACTTTTGCATACAATAATTTTATGCCAAAATTATCACATAAACACGTAGTTACTTGATCAATCAATTTCAAATATGGACTAATAATCAACATAGCATAAACGTAAATGAGAATAAAAATAGATTTTAATAGTTTTAAAATATATACAATTGTCAAATTTAATATTTCATTGTCTTGTGGACTATTTTAAACTACACAATACTTTGGTGAGAAACAAACATGATCCATTTTATTTTTAACAATAAACGTCTCGGATTGTTTCATAAAAATCTTCTCATTTTAGTCACCATGTAAGAAAATAATTTTTATGTCTAATTGTTTTAACTCCCAATAAAAAAAAAAGGAACTAATGACACCATAACCCAAACAATGGTAATTTAACAACGGATGCGAAAATCTCATTATAATGTATTTTTTCTTTGCATAAATCCATTGCCTACTAATGTAGCCTTAAACCTAAAACCATTATCTTCTTTTCAATTTTACAAATTTACTAACAATGTACAAGAGAAAAATTAGGGGGCTTAAGAACTAAATTCCAAATTTTATTTTCAATTAATAAGTCCAATTCTTCTTTCATAACTTTTGACAATTGAGATTTATTTTCAAAATTTATTTTCTCTTCAAAAGTCTTAGGTTCATTCTCATTTAAGTTTACAAACACAACAAAAGTTAAAGGAGATAAATAAAAATTACCAGACCTAGAGGATAATTTTATAGTTCTAAATTGCAGATGGATAAATTCTAAAAAATACAATCATGCCCATAAGTCCAAAAACTAGAGAGAATCTATGATATAGGAGTCTTTGGTAAAGGATTTAGACATTTCACTCACTAAATCATTAATGCCTCCCCTCTCCCCTCTAAAAAAAACCATGTAAAGTTACAGGGTCAATTCGATTTTCTTGCTATACATGATGTGAATGATAGGTTTGGCTTTTTCACCACATATTTGGAAGAAAAATAGGAAAAAGTACTTGCTAAATCTAAAAAGAAAAAAATAAATAGAATAGTGTTTTCAGGTGGTTCAATTGAGCTGGACAACATATTGGTGGCCATGAACTAGCGAGTTGGTGGTGGTTTTGTTGTTGAATGATTTTCGAAATGCCAACGGAGTAGATATATCAGAAGAAATTAGAGGGGGTTCAAGGACTTTTATGGAAAACCCTCAGATAATAGCTACATCCAAGACCATCGGAGCTCATTATACCAAATAGAAAAATAAAGGCGTTCATACGAGAGTCCCACAAGCATAATAAAGCCTTAATTAGTTCACTACCCCATGGGGAAGGGGTGCACGCACAACATAATCATGTCATAAATTCCTCATTTCCTCCATAATAGCAAAAAAATAAAAATAAAAATGGTTCTAATTTAATTACCCATGAGCTAAACTTGGAAAAGGTTCCAGGAAGAAGGCTAAATCCAGAGGAAAATACATCTACTTTCAGCCAAGGTTGACATAAAAGAAGATTACCTTGTTCTAGGAGAGTAGTGTTTTGGGCTTCAGCATCAGTTGCGTCATTAGCTAGAGGCAGAAGCCTTGAACACTGGAAAAGATAGATTAAATAAAATTTCCTATAACACATAATAACAACTCACACAAGTTTTTTAGTGTCTCTCGTATGTCTCCCTTTTAATCTTAAATAATTGTAATGAACACATCATGAAGAAAACTCCACTAGCTCTTAATTAGAGCCGGCTCAAATCAGTTCTCCAACCTTATTACTTCACTTGATATGTCACATAAATTCACATAGAAGATATAGGGTCACAACCCTCAAAGAGCTTCACAATTGATACATAAGGGTCCGAGACCCAAAGTACGCGTATGACAACTTATTTATTAGTTTGCGAGGGACACACAAGGGTCACACTCTCTTATTTCATACATAACATACCAAAAGAGAATTGTGCACAATTTATCCTTCTATCACGGATGATGGTCTAAAAGACCATTCCATTGAGAATGATGTGCACCCAAGACTCATCCAAAAAGGAACTCGCCATCGCGAAGCCACGACCTAACTCATTTGGGATCTAGTTCGATGTTAGCTATTTATCCTAAATACCGATATACCTTCATGTGTTTGCAAGGCACACAGGAGAAAGGTTACGCCTTATCGTCCCATACAATTAACGAGTTGATCAAACTCAATGAATAGTTTTAATTAACAGTTCAACTAAATACTCAACATACGATTTGGAAAATCTTAATAAAATGGATTTCATCTCAAAATATCTCATTTTACAAATATTTAACAAACTAATCAATAAAAACATCGACCAAGAATCATGCTTTGCAAAGAGCTTTGAACCGGGGCGGACCTATCCCCTCCCTCTCTCTCTCTCTCTTATTTTATTTGGTGATTCTTCATTTTTTCTAAAATAAATATAGTACCTTTGTAATCCAATTCTGTGCTCAATCTCTCTGTAAAATACAAAGAGAATGAACATAGATTTTGATGACGGAGAGTATATAGTATAAACATAATATTTGAAGTGAAAAAAAAAAGTTAAATCTCTAAGTATGAAAACTTTTCTAATGAAAAATTATATTATTTATCAATTTTAATATATAAAAAATAAATACTTACGATATATATAGTTCGTTATTTTGCAACCGTTTCAAAATATGACAAAGAAGAAAAATAAAATTGTTGGAAAATAAGTACATACATATTCTTTTATATACAAAAATAGATTTTATTATATTATTTTGTAAGTTTTTAAATTACACTCTCTTCTCTCGACTTCTTGTTCCGCTACTGATCATTTTGAAGAAAGGATCGGAAAGGACTTTGGTAAAAATGTATTGATGCCTACTTATAACATGAGTCGGATGAAGTCACTCACATAATACGGCATAACAATGTGGAGAAGTACTATTTATATTTTTTGTTCTCTCTTGAGAGATTAAATTTAAGCAATGTGTAAAACTAACTGATTGTCACAATGCAAAGAAATTGGTTGTACTGCTAAGATTTTTAAGGTTTTTAATAAATATAAAATCCTCAACTCATGAATTTTTATATTCATTCTTCTATATTCTACTTTCATGGAGGATATACTTACAAAACATTATTTCTTGGCTTTCCGAAAAATAATTGTTGCATCAAAGAATATACAATAACATGTTATAGATTTTCTTATATCAGGACAAGTGCTCCAATCTACATCACAATAATCTATCATTTGTAATCAAGAGGATGCATTGAGTAATAATCCAAAATTCATTGTTCTTTTTAGATATATGAGAACATGGACAACAACCTTTCAATGTTTTGTTAATAGTTTGTACATAAATTGAGTAAGTTATTTAGTTGCTAAGATAATATCTAGCTTGAAAAAATTTAGATAGTCTTTTCAATCAACCTTAGAGTTATATTAACTTTAACTACAATAGTTTTTCAATCAACCTTTGAGTTACATCTAAAGAAAGATAATCATCACTAGTTGATAATTTGAAGGTAGCTGGCAATTCTACGGAGAAAACCTTTGCTCGTGCGCCAACTTGGCTATAACCAAGTTGTTGCATCCTCCTTTAGGAAAGCTTGTGACTCGGATTTGAACCAAGGTGTGTGTTATATATATATATATATACTTTGCTCATGCATTTTTGTATTCTCAACTATGTTATGGATTTATTGTCTTTAGGACAAGGCTAATATTCAGTTTGGAGGATATCATCCACACATATTGTCAAGATCAAAGAAGTTTTGTTTGCATTGGTTGATGAATAAACCATTATTGTAAGTGGATTATACAAATCCAAATTGAAGTGCTTGTTCAACAAGTCTACGATATTCAAGTGGTTTGCTCAAGTTTATAAAACGATTTCTTTAATTTGCAAATTTATCCAAGAATTATAGGATAGTCTGTGGTAGCTTCAAATATAACTCATCATTCAATTTTTTAATGAAAAATGCATTATTCAAATTTATTTTTTGTATGCTCCACTTTTTACTTACAGCTATGACAAGAATTAATCTCATTGTAATTAGTGGCCCCGATAAAGTAGTCATCAAAATTAATTCCATGACTCGCAAATATTCCTTCGCAACTAACCTTATTTTATAGTGTAAATTTCATAATACTTCTTATATTTTAATATATATATAAAATAGTTCATATTTATTTTATTTATTGCATGAAATCACTTGTATTAAACTAAAATATGCTCAAAATAAAACACAACTATTTTTGTCTTGTTTTTTTTTTTTTTTTTCATTTAAATGTTCACTTAATCCCTATTGGTCTTGTTTTTTTGTTTTTTTTTTTTTCATTTAAATATTCACTTAATCCCTATTGTCCTCATTATCCTAAGTAAGTCAGTTCTAAGTTCCATTGTTCTCAAGAGTTCTTGTTTCATCTTTCATGGCTTTCATTTAATGTGAGCTCTTGATTTCCTCAGTATAAGCACTACCAACAAATAATAATAACAAATAAATAAATTTTACGAGATAATTTTTCCATGGCAAACTAGCCTACAGACCTCACTTGTAAAAAAAACATACGAAACCATCCTTTTCTCTCACAACCATAAATGGATCAGACGACAAGTTTCTTCATTACATGGAATAAATTAAACTCATTACAACGCCAACATAAGAACAACGAACACCAAACTGATCATAATTGGGAGCAGATTCGCGCACACAAATCAGACTCCCAAAATTGATCACACATTATTACATCAACAAAAACAAGAAACCAAACATCAAACTAAACCAGATAACAAAAAGCTTGCAATAACATCTGCAATTTGAGTCCTCAGAACTCAGACACTTCCTTCCTGTCAAAGAACAATCCAGTCGACCCATCGTCCTCCGGCAGCAGTGCCAGCCTCACCGGGCTTTCTGCGCCTTCTTCCACGGTCAGGAACCCGCTGTGGTGATTCAAGTCCGTCATTGTGTATCCGGGGCAAACGGCGTTGATCTTACAATCGGAGTTCTTCGCCAAAAGCCTCGTATATGCAGTCAGGACAGCCTTTGAGACAACATATGAACCCGAACTTGCAGGCCAGCCTTTCTCCTTGGCGACGCCATTTTTCATGTCTTTAAGGTACTCATTCACGATCTCATTGAGCTTCTCTTCTGTGAGGTTGTCGACATCGCTGAGGATCCCTTTCGCCCATTCATTAGGTATGTTCTGAAAAAATCAGATTACACAAATTAAGAATGATCACAAATTGCATAGATATCTAAAACACTTGCTTGTCTCAAATTGAAAAGTTCGATTAACATATATGTATATACTTGCCTTAAGCAATCCCAATACAGACGACATGTTCACAATCCTCGGGGAATCGGATAGCTTGAGCAGGGGAAGCAGAGCCTCAGCCATCCTCTTGGCGCCGTAATAGTTTATTTGGAAAGCGGCTTCTGCGGTGTCGTAGGTCTCAACTATAATCTCACCCCAGTTGATCTTCGATTTGTCCTAAATATACAAATCAAATTAAACCAAATCCGTCGATATGATTTTGATACTCACACACACACACATATATATATATATATATATATGATACCTCGGCCTTGGCTGCAGCTCTCATCGCCTCTCCATCGACGTTGGCTCCAAAAACTCCGGCATTGTTGACCAAGATATCGAGCTTCCTGAATTTGGATTTGATGAATTCAGCAAAGGCAGCGACACTGGCTGAATCTGTGACATCTAACTGGTGGAAAATTACATGGTCGCCATGGCTAAACTGTTTCAATTTCCGGACAGCTTCGAGGCCTCTTTTGTGATCCCTAGCAGCCAAGACGACAGTTATGTTCCCCTGGGAGGCCAACTGCTTGCAAATTTCAAATCCTATCCCCTTGTTTGCCCCGGTCACCACAGCATACCTGCACGATGATTATTGATTGAAACACATGTAATAGCATATAATATTATGAATTAGAGAAGGGGGGGTTACCTGTGCGCTGCTTCAACCATGTTTTGAATTTGATGTGAATTGGGATACGACAGAGAGCTAGAATGAAGATGAGATCTCTAACTTGGGATTGGATTGTTGTTGATGGAATGGCGCATCGATACATACACATATATATATATATACATATACATAGGAAAGAAAGAACGTTCTTTTCTAGATGGAGAAGGTACCAATGGCAATTAAATTCGAGTTCTAGAAAAAATAAACGTTTCGTTAGTCACTCCAAGGAGCTGTGGTCCAAATGTATTCGAGTCTTGAGGGCGTGTAGGAGTGTAGGATTTGGACTCTAAGACCATCCAAAATGCATACATTATTTTTATAGTTTTCTTCTCTCCCTGCCACATAATCTCACATCACTTGAGAACATATAAAAAACTCATTCAAATCTTTCTTTGACTTATCCGAACATTCTCTAGGTATTGGTACGCCTAATTAGAAGCAATCATTTTTCAATAATCTTCAATTTAATTCATTTGTAGCACAAAATTTTAATTCGACCAAAAATCAGAAAAATACTATGCAAAATTATAGTTCAGGAGCGCACTTAACGTACAAAAAATTCGGACAAACAATAAATTCATCAATTTCCCACACCTACACTATGCTTTGCTCTCAAGCATGTTAAATAATGGACATAAAAGTAAACATGTAACATTATGTCTAACATATAAATCGTATTTCAATGCTAATTTCATAATGTCGGATTATACCAAATTCAACCAACCTCACAAAAAAAAGTGTATACACTCAACACTAAAATAAAATAAGAGGTTAATATCACTCGACTTGCATAATGAAAAATATAATGGTAGTTCATTGACTTGCATAGAAATCAAGTCTCCCTCAATTATTATTATAATCAAATATGAAAATTAAATGGTCATTTTTTAAGAGTTGTAACTAGGCTTTTGGTTAAAGTGGGAAAAAGAAATATAACAACTGAGTATCGATAATATATATTAAGTTCACCATATAACATATGTATTTTTTATTTTAGACCCAAAATGAAACACATCTTTAATCTAAACCAAGAACTACCCTCTCAATGAATAAAAATACTACCAAACATTGCGAGTTCCCACGTCATAAAAAAAAAAAAAATACTACCAAACATCAAATCATCTCTTTTTATTTTTTCTATAATTTTTTTGGTTTTCACATTTTTTCTAGATAACAATCGAAACAATTTTTTTTTCAACTTTTCGTAATTTTTAATAGCAATAACTCTAAGTGATGAATATTGGAAGTTTTCGACGAACAAGATCTAGTGCGAATTCCGTCCCTAATTCTTTTTCATGCGGCTGCATAATTGGTCCCAACAAGTTCATGAATACAAAACTAAGTTTCAAGTTATAATCAAACAACTGTACTGAATCAACTAAAAATCTATTATAAACGCCAATAATATATAAAAAAGTTAAAGTCACAGAAATGTAAAGCATTATAACATAGCATCACACACTGCAAAATTAAATAAAATAAATCTACTTTCAAAATAAAGATAACGTAGTATAATTGAAGTATGATTTTCTCCTCGGGAAATAAAAAAGGTTTTATATTCGGTTGTTTAATATATAAATATAATAAATGGGGGGGGGGGGGGTTGGAATATGGAAAAAATAATAAAAATAACAAACTAAAAATCTACGACTAAAAGATAAATTCAATATAAACAAGCTTCCAGTCTATGAATGAAATTGACAACTTGGATAGTGGATTTGATCATTGATAAATATTTAATTTCATTGTTTTCTAAATAAATTAGTTATAGTTACCGACACACGCCTAATAACCAACTCTTCCTTAATTTCTCGACAGTTTAGGTACGCCCGTCAACTACTTTCCTAATTAGACTAGAACCCTAGTGAAGCCACAAAAAATTCACTAGCCTAACGTCCTTGTGAATTGGAAGAGCCTAATTCAATTTAACAATTACTTATGCGAATTGTTTAAAATTGATTTCGTGATTTCCTAGTGGTGCCTGCCCCTAGTTGCTACTTGAACAAAATTAAAATGCAATTATTGACGCCTAATTTAGTTTAGTAATTAATTTTTAATCAAAGTGAAATACCTGGCCACAATACCCGACCAAATCAAATATTATTAAATATTAAAATCAGAAATCACATAAATACTTAGGAACCAAGAAATAATATAAATCAAAACATAGTCTAATCTCACAAATCCATACCAAGTTATTTCTTTCACTCCCAAACTAGACAAGTAAACTACTCTCAAATCATAGGAGGAAGAACACATATAGCAAAAATAAATATCGCCTAAGTTTTGATGCGAACTTGCCAAGGATGACAGTTTGGATCGAATTCCACAGGAATATATAATAACAATATTGGAAAGATTTGGATAGAACAAGGGATGGATGGATATATATATATGTATTTATATTAATGGGGATAAACTGGACTCTCTTGAATTGAGAGGTAGTCGGGAAGGCAACACGAGAGATCAAGCTCACGTCTCACAATCCTCTAAACAAACCAACAAGATAAGCTAAGGCAAGAATAGTTCCAGTACTATTCAAGAGGCCACAACTTGTTTCAAATCACTCGAAACAACTCGATTTGGAGATATGAAGATGTAACCAAATCACTCAAGATTACACTTCAACAATGCACAAGAATTGCTCTTGAAATAATAAACCAATTTATCAAATATCTTTGTTGAATGAATAATCCATACAATGATAATCATGTGACCTTTTATAGAAGACCCATGGAAATTAAAACAAAAAACTACACTCCTAAAGGAAATATAATAAGCTTTATTTAGTATTATTGACCCATAATTCATGGCAATCCCATGATATTGGTAATATCTTGATATATGGAATTCCTTCATTTAGAGGATATTGATCCACGCGATTCCTTCAATTAGGGATAGTAATTTAGGGGAGGGCCGATGTCTTGTAAGGTGCTCCTGGTCTTATGGTCCTTGGGACTTGTGGTCCAATTCTAGAAGATGACATGGCTTATCTTCATCCTTGGTGTAGAGTTCAGCATTGGCATCAATTTGAAGTTTTGCACACTTTGTAATTGTCATTTGAAATTTACGGGCTCGGCTCCTAGTGACTGGTCCAGGAGAAATTATGATTGGGTCCAATTCCATCATGATTGTCACATCAAATTTGATTGGATTGACGAGGAAGAACTCAAAATCTCCTTGGAAGAACTCAAAATTTCCTTGGAAGAATCTTTCTCATTCTTGCCCTTGCGCAATTTCTCTTTGGGATTGTTCTATATTGTGTTCTCTCCTTTGGCAGCATAAGTGGCGCCTAGCCTCCCTTATTTCTTTTTATTTTTACCCTAATTTTCTAACAATAGGGTTTTTGGGCCTTGTAATTAATTCTTTAGCCATTGGGACTTTTTGTTCTCTTTTCCCTCAAATTCTACAAATTTAATATTCTTCTCCTTCAAAACATAAATAAACAATATATACACAAATTATGTAAAATCCAATCAAAACTAACCAAATATCGCAAATAATATGGATATTTAACGCATGCAATTACTGGCAATCAAATCTCCCCACACCTAGATTATGCTTGCCCTCAAGCATAGATTCAAAACAAGCGAAAAGAAATCGCAGACGACTCAATATGACATGAAAATCTAACACAACCAAATCAATCGAAAATTCAACACATCAAAGCCAAGTCAAACTTACAAGATAAAGTGTATGTGCACGTACTCTCTGAAAGAAATAACTGTATAAGTGGTTACGCTCAATTAGTGCAACAAAAGACTATCCCATAGGCTTGAATAAAAATCAAATCTCCTTTGCTTAAGATATTTAAATCAAACATAAAGAATCAAAGGGACTTTTAATATGGTTTGTAACGGGACTGAAGGTAAAGGGTGGGAAAATGGATAAACAAAGGCTAAAATATGTTAGAAAAGAACACGATAAGAACATGATGCTAGCACATGAAAAACAATTCGGCATAAAGAATGAAACTCTTACTTTATTCACTTCCCAAACTCCAAGAACATAATTATACCAGTAAAACTTCATCAAGATGATCATTTTTTTTCCTTTTTTTTGGGCCCTTTTTTTTCTTTTTACTTCTTTTCTTATTAATAATAATAATAATAATAATAATAATAATATATTATTATTATTATTATTATTATTGGCCTATTATATAGGTATATATACCTTCACTACCTATTCCCATTGCAACTATCACTCACGAGGACATTATTTATTTATGCACAAACTTTGTTTCTAACTGGTGCCGAACAAATAAAGTGCATCACAATATGAACTTAAAGTAATTCTCTCTAACATAAGGTTCAGATCGGAGAAGGCTTAATTAAAAAAAAAAAAGATCTAAGGCTAAAAGACAGCTTAATAGGTTAAAAAGGCTGAAAGGGGCTAACTAGGAAAATATATATTGTGATAGGTGATAAAGAAAGGCTTAATGGAGTTACCTAGTGCTCTTATCATTTTCAAACTGCAAGGCTCGATAATTGCAAGTTCACTCAAGTTCTAGGTCATCTAATTGAGCACTACAAATCACACATGAAAGAAATTTCAAAAGCTTGAATATTATGTAGTTTTTTGTTTTTTTTTTTTTTTTTTTTTTTAATATAAGACTTTTGAAATATAAGCTCAAATTCTCACAACGTTCAAATGTCAACCTGGCTCAACATATCTCAAATCCAATGTCATCAGTCATGTCAGACTAACCTATCACACAAATCACCTTTGACTCACTTTATACAAATCTAAAATATATGCAAGAGTATAGCAATTCAAGCATAGAAAGTAGCATCAAACGAAAACAATTGCCCAAAAAATATTGCATAACTCTCACTATACCTAGAGCTTGTATAATACTCTCCCCATACCTAAATCATGCATTGTCCCTAATGCAATAGAAAAATAAAGAGAAAATGATTACGATGCTTCCATGGAATCCATCTATCAGAGGGAGACAATAGCACTTCATTGATTAGTTGGTTTCTTGTAATCAGTGAGGTTTAGTAGTTTGGCCATCGAAATTTGCAAGATAACATAATGAAGTTCACGGTAGTGACTGCTGTCAAACACGTCGGGAG